CAAAGTAAATGTGACACTTTGAACTTGCCACTGTCATATATTTTTTAGTATTTTTATTTAAAAATAACCGAAATGCTTTTTTAAGGAATTACGTAGGTTTATCAACAACTATTGATCCTATTTTCAAGTTTACTTACAATTTGTAAATTATACCTCTGTTACAAGTTCAGTCTCATAATCGTTTTAATGGCCTACTTATCTACTTTTGCGGTGTTGTCACACGTAAAACACGATCTTTTTAAGAAGCGCAAATGTCCTGCAGAGTATGCAACATGCATACACCATCCCAAGACCACAGGTGTTTCAAGTTGAAAAAGTACTTAAACTTAATTACAAACTTCAAAACATGACATTTCAAAAAATGACATTGCCATAAAATTTTAAGTATGAAATCGATGCATTTTATTATTCGTGTAATCTTTCATTCGAATAAAAAATACTGTTCGATACGAGGGCGCAAAACGACATTTTTCGCCCTTGTATCGAAAACTACTATTCTGCTTTTTTAACTTTTAAAGAAGCACATTAAACTATTCGTTAGTTTTTGTCAATATTTTCAATCCTTTGAGTTTTACAAACAAGCAAGAAATGTGTTTCAAGCGGCTGTTAAGATTTTGGGGCATGTGAGAAACTCGCCTAATGTACATTAGAAAAATTTAGCACACTAGTAAACAATCGAGAAAATTATCAAAAGTTCATGCGAATTCGTAGAAAACCTGATTTTTCGGGTATTTTCCAAAACTGGGCTTGATATGAATTTTCATGCCTGCACAGATTTAAGAAAAACTTGAAAAATTCACGACTTCCACTTGAAACGAGTTGAAAATTGAATTTTTTCATTTGATAGGAAAAATTATCATCCGAAAATGCTGAAAATGTTACTTGAATAGTGAAAAATCCTGAATGAATTTACTCTGATTTTCCAAGTTGTTAGTTGGAAACAAAATCTTGAAGCTACAACGCCTTTTAGGAGAAAATATCGAAAATTAATATTTCGATTTTTAAGGATAAAATTTGAATTTCCTTTCATTTTGAATGATTTAATCACCGCTGCTGAAAGCAATTTTTAGAGCTTTCAAAACTTTTGGACTAAAATCGAACTTTTCCTAAAACCGCAAATGATACTAAAAAAACACAGTTTCGAAGCCAGAACAAG